TTACATTAAACAAAATGTAACTAACAATTAGCTCAAAAGATCATTTTCTGTAGTTTGAAACTATAATGTTTATTTTATTTTATGGTAAACAATCGAAAAGGGAAAAAAATTATTAAAATTCCATCAATATAGTCATTAGTGATTTTCCTAAAGAAGTCATAAGAAATGTATTGTGAGATCCACCAATATATATTAGAGCAAGAACCAATTTAAAACCAAAAAAATAAACAATATAAATTTTCTTAGTTGATAATCTAAATTTATATAAGTTGCATTATGAATATAGAAGACAACATAATTTGTTGAATTGATCTTGCATTGTAGGATTTTCCATTAAACCCTTTTTTTTTAAATTTTTTTTATTACCAATTGAATTTTAGTACCAAAGTAGTTAAAGATACCAAATTTAGTATTAATTTAAAGGAATTTTATTTATATACAAATTCTCAAACATAAATAATTTGTAATGCCATAATTTTATTATTGTGTCTGTTAGTATTTCATTAATCAAATTGCAAACAAGAGCAATATCAAAACATAAAATGAAACATATATTTGAATCAGTCAGTACCTGGTTCTTAAGCTTTGATCTCAATTGTTCCAATTGTTGGTATACTTTTCTATTGCATTTCTTGCTAATGTCATTACTCATAACTAGCACTTCTGTAAAAATATTTGCCACTCTATGTTGAAGGAGAGCCCAGACAAATAGTAACACGAGAGACATACGTGTAAGTCTTAATATGTAAATTTATTGTCTAATAGATTTTGTAAAAGTTAATAGCATTTTTCATCAAACACTATTAAAAAACATAATTAATTGTAAATTTTCAGCAACAGTTTAAAAATTTTATTACAAAAAATGTCACTAATTTTTAACTTTTAGCGACAGTTTAAAAATTTTGTCACAGAAAAGCATCACTAATTGTAGGTTTTAGCAACAATTTATAAAAGTCATGACAAAAAAGTCACTAATTGTCAATTTTTAGCAACATATGCAAAAAATATCACAAAAGTTATTTTTAGCGACGATTTTACTATGACTTATTTTTAATTGGACTTTATGAGAATTAAGTCCAACTATTAAGATTCATTGGTAGTTTACCCTATTAACAATCATGTTCTTTGTTTGTCTGTTTAGTAGGTGTTAGGTTTTTGTTATTGGCAATTCTGTTTGACAAAACTCTTTTCAATTGTGATTTTATTCGGTCTTTTATTTTAGTGAGGCTATGAATATTTAGATGCGAATCCAACCCGAATTGTGCCTTTGTAGAGGAGTTTGTGATCTTAATCCTATCATGTTTGCCACTTCACTGACTATGTCGGGGATCGAGCTACCCGGTCAGCTCGTGGGGGTTGAGGGGTAGCGCCCCTTAGCAGGCTCAGGGCAACGCCCTGGCTGGGTCGAGGGGCAGCGCCCCTAAAGCAAAAAGCAAAAAGCAAAAAGCAAAATTGCAGTCAAAGTTGTTTGTCCGCTCTAGCGGAGATGTAATTCTGTCAGAAGTTTCACTTGCCTGCAAAAGTACTGGGAATTGTGTTTTTCCGCTCAAACGGCTTTTCTTACGCTCAAGCGTAGATCCTTGCCTGAAACACGCGTTTTAGTTAGTATGCTCGAGCGGCCATTCTTGCGCTCGAGCGGAGATCGCGATTCTGATTACTATAAATCTGCGTTTCAGTCTGTTTTTAGGGCACGACTTCCAGATCTTCTTCTTGAGTATTAGAGTTTTTATCAGGAGCTTCTTTGCTTGTTTCCTTTAATATCTGTGAGAGTTTATATTATGAATTGAGTAGATTATATTAAAGGGTTTCTTTATTTTGTTTTATTCACAAAAGAGAGATTTGTTCTTCGGTGGATTCTGTAGAATTTGGACTTGAAGCTTTGGTGGATTCCGGAGTGACTCATCGTCGTGGATTCGACATCGGCGTTGTGGATTCAACATTGGGCAAGACAATTTTGAGGTGAACACGGAGCTGAAAGAGGCACATAGGGGTCGGTTCGATTCGGGCGTGGATTCGCTAGGTAATTGAGAGTACATTTATGTAATTCCTTTGTGTCTTTTTAGTAGATTGTTTTGTGACTTTTGCCTGTAGTTTTTTTTTTTTTTTTTTTTTTATCACAATTGGAGGCGCTCCAATTGTGGTTTTTCCACATAAAATTGTTGTGTCGATTTGTCTTTGATTGTTTGATTGAAATTGCTATTTACTGATTAAAATTGATACATAATCACAAATCTATATTTTCGAGATTTTAGATTTTTCAGTAAGTTTCTTTGTAATCAATGAAATTGGCTAGTCATCCAGTTATGGTTTGGCAATAATTTTTTTACTTATATAAGTATAAAAAAATAAAATAGAATAAGAAGTTATTTGGCATGTATCACCAGTTATTTGACTCATATTATTTATCTGTTGCATCACTTCAATTTCAATTCACATTTTATATTTTTTCATATAAAGTCAAAAAGTATATTAATTTAACACTTCCTAAGCAATCTCAATAAGATGAAATGTAATATTTAAACCATAATCATTTTACTTTTTTTCTAACAACAATTACATCCAAACCAAAAAAATAAAAAAATTCTTCCAAAAATAAGCTAATTTAGCCCGACTAAATTAACCCAAAGAAAATAAAAAATAAAAAATTACTCTTCTCAAACGAATCTTGTACCTATAACAAGGGCAAGGTTTTTTTGTCAGCCAGATGAAGGACAGAAAGAGAGAGACCACTGATCACAAACTCCAGCAGTTGGAATTAATTGCACAGCTAGGCTACACGTGAGGTTGTTCTAAAAAATAAAAAATAAAAAATAAAAAATAGGATAAATTACAAATATACTTCTTAAAATTTGTTTAAAATATAAATTGTTTCTTGTAGTTTGAAAAATTACGAATACCTCCCTGTTAGAATTTTTTATTTGATAGAATTAATTGAAAAAGTGAAATTTCTAATTGTTCATCTATACAATAATAAAATTATCTGAATTATTAATTGAAATAAAATATTAACATTATTAAAAACTATTAATTAACTTGATGACTTATTAATAAAAGGACCTATTTGTTACAAAATTAAAAATCTTAGAGGACATAATATAATTTCTAAAACTATAGGAATAATTTATGATTTAAGTAAAGTTCAGGAGGTGTGTTTATAATTTATTCTAAAAAAATAAAAAATTAATTATAGGCAAATGTAGTCTCCAGAAATCAACTTGAGAGAATTGATGGTGATTGATCAAAAAAGTGATGATGAAGAATGGTAGTTGAAAAATAGGTATTTCATGTCATGACAATTTTGATGATAATTAGTTGAATCTCAAGTCTTTTTTCATTTTTTTTATTGGTCCTAAAGGAAAACATGATCGTCGCCCGTAGGGGTGGGCAACGGTTTATCCGAACCGCTCAAACCGCCCAATCCGCCCAACCCGCATATAAATGGGCGGTTTCGCAAACATAATACGGGCGGTCGCGGTTTGAAATATGACAAATTTGCTGGTTGCGGGCGGGTTGCGGTTTAAACCCGCAACCCGCAAAAACTGCCCGCACTTTAATTATTATTATTATTATTATTATTATTATTATTATTCTTTATATACCAACTTTGTAACTTTTACAGGAGTACTGTTATATTCTCTATGACACTAGAATCCTTATTTTTAAGTATTTCTCAACTTTCTTAATGCCGTAGAATTATAAAGTCCTAAACTTGGTTTCTTATTTGATTTTCATGGGTGATTTATTCACTTTTTCCTAATAAAATTTTCCTTCTAATGGTCGATGGAATTTATAGTTTGATTATTGATTACTGAACTAGCAATTCTAATTGAGTACAACCTTTAATGCATTGATATACATTTTTTTCATAGCAAAAATGCTAGTGTAGGGTCTATTTGTTTTGGGTACTTTCATTTAATGCATTGATATTCAATTTTTATTTGTAAACTCATCAAAAAATTGTTATCACAAATATATAAAATGAATCTGATGCCTAAATTTGCTGGGAAAAAAAAACTTGAAAATTAACTTTTAAAGAAAAAAGTGTAAACCGCAAACCGCCCGCAACCGCCCGCACATTTGCAAACCCTATCCGCACAAACCGCAAACCGCACTGCGGGCGGTTACGGGTTGACTTTTTCCCAAACCGCATAAATGCGGACGGGTTAAAACCGAACCGCAAACCGCACAAAACCGATCCGCGAACACCCCTAGTAGCCAGCCTTCATGTTAAAGATTCAGAGCCAGCCTTCATGTGTGTTCAGTTACCGTTGAAAAGTATATGAGTCCTATATATGAGTTCTGTTGTTACTTTTATAGAAGCAATTTTTTTTTTTTTTTTAAATGCTCCCTTTGTTTCATCAAAATATTTTTGAATCACAAAATATATAAAATTACTACAAAAATACAAAAATTTATTTTTGAACCACATTGTCCTAACAATAGAATAATAAGCACACAATAGATTTGATTGGGATTTCCTCCTCCCTCACTTTTCAAGGACAAAATAAGTCCCCATAGAGAGAGAGACAGAGAGAGAGCTTCTGCTCCCCTTCTGACCATAGAACAACACCCCCATAATCACTTAAATATTTGATCCCAAAAGTCACCAAATGAACAACACTCCCATAATCACTGAAATATTTTCTCCCCAAGTCACCAACTCCTTATAAATGTTCGCAAGTATACAACTCTTTACAAATGTTCATAACTATACATGCCAAGATGCTCGCAACATTGTGAGTTGTAGGCGATTTCAGTGATCAAATTTTTCAGCGAGCATATCTTTTTCTGACCATAGAGTCTCGAACTTTTCCTCAATCTGCCTAAGCAAGCATGTTCATTCGCTCGCATCAAAATATGCCATCAAATCATCCACATCAAACCAAACTAGCATCATCAAATTAGTGATCATTCATGTCTTTGTAGTATATTGGAGTATGAACTCTTGAATATCCATACATTTCTCAAAGGACTAGACAATGAATTACCAAAAGCAAGTGTGAAATAAAGATGTTGAAACATATTCCATCCAAATAACAGTTAATAAAAATATAACTCTGGATAGCTATGGATGCATAACAACAATCCATGATATACATAATGAAGTTTTCAACCTGTGAGCACCATACATTGGACATATCCAAACAGTTGAACTTAAAACACACAAACATTTTCCACCAAGGTTAAGAGGACAAGCTGAACATAGATTCAAAATACATGTAGGACTACTTACGAGACCCTATAGTTTTCTACTTTCAAATACAGCAACAGCTGGTACCTCAGGAACAATCTGCTCCCTACCGCTGGTATTTAAAAACCATGGATCTTGATATGTTCCTTCTTCACAATGCCCGCCTGTTGGAAACAACATTTTAGGAAACCCAACAAACTAAAAGATATGATATGATATGCTATGTTACATGGACTCGGTTACGAGTATAGGTGAAGGCACATGTCCAAGAGTAAGACTATCGTAAACTAGAATTTCAAGTTGATGTCATGAACATTTATATATTTTACATATTGTATAATATTCCTATATAAGATGATGTAATTTAGAAAAATATACATGAAATTAATTAAAAAAATTTTTAAAAAAAAAAATGAAATTTAATCTCCCTTGTATGTGAGAGACAAATGTCTAAATTAGGTTCAAACATCATATAAAATTATAAGATTCAAATGCCTAAATTAGGTATGGATGTCGGACAGATATCCCACACCCTTACCCCCATCATATCCAGTAGACACAGGTAATGTCGGAGAAATAGAAGAGTCTATGTAATACTAACGATATGTATAATTGTGAAGAGTCTATGTAATACTAAGGATATGTATAATTGTGCGTTCATGAGAATTACCTGAACAAGAAAGGCCGAGACATTCTTTCGCTGATCACCTTGAAGTTGGATAACCTAAGTCCATTACATAATTATTGCAAAGTTAGTCATAAGACAACAAAATTAGCAGCGTTTGGAAGGAGGTTGTATCCTAATGGCATTCACCTGGCCCAGCTCTGGATCCTGGACAACGGTACCATTGCAGCAAAACTCCTTCTTAAGGTCCTTGAGTATCTTGTTATAGCTGAATTCCTTCTTCAACCCCTGGACAGTGGTCAGGCTTTTCCTACCATTACGCTGCTGTATACGGACATGAACATATTCCTTTGACCCAGCACCCGAGTCCTCAGCATTTGCCTCAGCGAATGGATCTGTTTACAACAAACAAAAAAACACCCTTCAGTTTAATTCCAATCATATCGGTGGCCAAAGATACATGCTCATTTCATTTCATTCATACTGGCGTAATGCATGCATATTGTCCTTGATAGAGCATAATAGCGAAAAAAGGTTCATGTAACCAATCGCAATTGATTAGGAAAAAAACTTGGCTTGGTACGGTTTATATTGCATAATTGTGCTCCACCCTAAGGTTAGCCTCTAAATAATCGTCTCATATGCATAAGGACAATTTTCATTCCGACCAAGTATTAGGGAGAGATGCAGGGTGTTGAATGAGGAGCTTTTATGCCCAAATGTATCAATACTTAATAAACAATGCTGAAGTACAAACACAACAATAAGAGTAGGTGGAAAACAGGGGCACGGGGGGGGGGGGGGGGGGGGGGGGGTGGGGGGGGGATGTGGTCCTGCCCCTCCAACATTTTGAGCAAGCATAGGTTTTATAGTAGATAACTTGAAAAAAAATTATGGCACCAAGGCATTGGCCCCTCCTAGCTGTGACAAGTTTTAGTTGATATTTGGTCTTCTACTCTATCACCAATCATGGAACATCTTCCCCTGTTAACACCAGTATACACTGCAGGCTTCCAAAGGGATTAGGGCTTGTTTGCATAGGGAAGGCAACTTGGTGGGGAAGCTAAAAGAGATAATAAAACTTGTATATTAATTTTAAAAGGAAGAACATATTATTTGAAAGGGTGGAGACTCAGTCTATTCACTAATTAAGGTAGTGAAAAAAAAAATTAAGGTATTGCTTGGTTCACTAGAATGAAAGTGAAATAGAATCGAATATTCATTCATTAATTTTTTTTAAATGATCATTTAATAATTAATGATGACTTAATTTATAACATTTTTTATACCATTTTTCAATGAACCAAACGTGAAATATACATTCTAATGAAATAATCGTTATATTTTTATTCATTCTAGTTAATTAAACACTAACAAAGAGTTCAATTGTTATTTGAAAAGCTACTAATCAATAGTTAATAAAAAAAAAAAAAAGACAAAATGACAATTATAAAAATATAGAGATTTCAAAGAAAACGTAGAAGAGATGCAAGAACAATAATGCTCTTTAGGTGGCCCCCCAATCTTGGAGTTCTGGCTCTGCCCCTGGGTGGAAAAATATTGGTTGAACAGATTTCATACAGAGAACTAGAGATGTGATATCCCTGTTCCATAATATGCTAATTGATCCTTAATATGAATATGATTATGTGTTTGATATGATTTTGTGTGCCATTCATGTGAAAATATGTGGTTTTGAATTTCTATCTGTTCACCGTAGGAATATCTGTTTGATTATCTGCTTTGGAATTTAAATTGAAAGCCCTATCGGCCACAGAAACCGAAATTAATTGTGCTATTGTGATTAGCGTAAATTTTAGAGCCTACGGTGAAATTTAATTGAAAATTGATTCGGATCAAATTAATCAGATTGAATTTGATGAATTAGTGCTCAATTATTTTATATTAAAATAATGTGACCAAGGGAGCTCTTATTAAGGCCATTACACTCTCATTTTTGTTTCTTTTTGAGCTCAACATCTGAAATTATGCTCTAGAGAGAGAGAGGGGGCCGAATTTAGTGAGAGAAGAGGCTCAAGGCAGAGATTTGCTAAGAAACTTGGTAATCTTGAAGCTACACTCAAGAATTAAGCATAAGTTTGGAAGATAAAGCTCCTAGGTGAGTAATCAACCCTTAATTCATGAGTTTGAATTGTGAGTTTGTGAATTGAAGATTAAATGGTGGGTTAGATCATGAATTGAGTTGGTTTTGTTGAATTGGAGGTCATGGAACACATGCATGTAGGAAATTGCTAGAAATTTCCATGTTTGAGCATAAAGTGTGTAATCCATGTTGAATTGTGAATGAAGTCCATGTAATTGATCATCTCTTTACCAATTAAGTTGAGAACAATGAGTATATCTCACATGCATATACAATTTATAAGAATATGAGTTTGAATGTATGAGTTTGTTATGTTGGAAATGAGTTTGATGTGAATTGGGACATGCATGTGATTAATTTGTGAAATTGGGCTTCATAATGATGTAATTTGGTGTTTGTACCATGTTAGTACATGTATATGTGAAGTTTGAGCCATATTATGCAAGAAATGTTGGTTTGAATGTTGAATTTGAGCTCAAGAACCATTCTGGAAAATCCAGAAATTTTGATGTCCGCTCGAGTGGGAGAACCGCCGCTCGAGCGTAAAATAGGAGCTCCCAGTATTTTTTGCAGACATGTTGTCCGCTCGAGCGGGAAAGTTCACACTTGAGCAGGAAGCCATGTAGTGAGGCCTTCAGCTCGAGCGCCCGACTTCACGCTCGAGCGTAAATTTGACATAGCCAGTACTTTTGCAGGCCTCATGGGTCCGCTCGAGCGGGGAAGTCCACGCTCGAGTAGGGATCCCTATTTCTGAAATTTTGTAATGATGTTCTGTGTTTCGTTTTCCGTTCTCTTTCACTTCTAAGTACTCTTAGGCATGCATTGAGCATTGTGAATGAATTAAAAGAATAAGAAAGAAGTCTAAAGAGGAATATGTGAATTAAGGAACGGATTAAATCGTTTGTGACCCATATGTGTTATGTGACATGTAGGGTGAAGCTCCAGGGCAAATCAACCAACCAATCACTGTGAGTAATATTTGAACAAAGATATCTGAAATATGTTATTTGTCCAATTGCTTAGTTCTATGTAAGTCTTATAAGTACGATAATTTGAATGGTGGACAATGTTTGCTACGCCAAATGAATGGGCTAGATGCCAGTTTGACATGAAAGTATAAATGGGCCATAGGCCAATTTGACATGAAAGTATTAATGGGCATAGGCCAATTTGACATGAAAGTATGAATGGGCCATAGGCCAGTTTGACATGAAAGTTTGAATGGGCCAAAGGCCAGCTTGACACGAAAGTATGAATGGGCCACAGGCTAGTTTGATATGAAAGTTTGAATGGGCCAAAGGCCAGTCCGACATGAATGATAGAATGAATGGGCCAAAGGCCAGTTTGATCTGAATGAAAGAATGGATGGGCTAAAGGCCAGTTTGATCTGAATAAAAGATAAATGGGCCAAAGACCAGTATGACACAAACGAATTGGGCCTAAGGCCGTATGATGTGTTCGGAACCGCAGTCACTTGACCTAAATTTGTATTTATATATGCTAAGAGAAATACGAATTGGGCCCAAGGCCGTTTGAAGCATGTTGTTCTACATACCGTCTGTATAACTTCTTTATTTGATATTATTCATTGGGCTTTTGCTCACGCTCATTCATGTGTTTGTAGGTGAGCCAAGAGAGGTCCAAACCCAGCCTCAGTGAAGTTTGTGTGGAACAATCAGGGTTTTGAAGAGTCAGCCTTATGTCTTACGCACGAGACTCGTTTTCGCCCTTTTGCTATCTTTTTATTTTGTCATGTTAGCGAGGACTTTGGTTTATGTTGTATATAGTTTTGATTGGCTGACCTAAACTTGAATGATCCTGTATGTACAGAGTTTCGTAATGTACATATTTTGATGTGAGTTATTAATACGTGTATGTGTAGTTTGTTATGATGTGCCATGTAAGCACAACTCTATGGACAAAGTTTTAAATTTTGCTTCCGTTTGGTCCCTTTACTCTGATGAGTTATGTCTGGTTTGATTTGAGGCCATAGGTAACCTCAAGATTACTAGCCGGTTATGTTCTTAACCCATGGGGGCTGGTTCGGGTCATGACAAGAGGCATGTTTGATTAATAGTATTATAGCATAGGATTGGGATTGTTAGTCCAATTCTAACAATCCCAATCCTATGTTTGATTGCAAATTTTATTAACTGGATTACATGTACGGCGGACATTCAATCTGACAAAATTGACAAATGTTTAATATTGGGAGGGGCTGGAGATCATAATTTCAAGTATGAAAGAAGAAAAATAAAATGAACATATAATAAATTGTTATCTCACTAATTTTATTGGATAACTAATCCTACAGTAGTTCTTGGGATGATAAATCCTTTCACCATTAATCATGTTAATCAAGCAAGGCCCAGAAGAAGTGCAAGCGATTTATACACAAGGACTACATTTTGCCCCAGAGACAAACAATATGTACATGCCGACACTGGTATTAAATGAAAAACTGAAATAAAGCACATACCGAAGGTTGTTGGGACCTGGATGTCGAGCTCAGACATGAACCTTGGCTGCTAGAATTGAACGGACCAAACGCCGAGCACTGAAACACAGATTAAATAACCATCAACATCTTACCAAACCAGAAAGAATCTAAAACCTACAAAGATGAAGTGAAGCCAACTAGCCATACTATATATATATTTTTTGATAAATGCCAACTAGCCATAATATGAATTACTTTGAATCAAATAAGATTAATACTTACTGATTGAAGGACAACACCTTGGGTATATATACACATGTATGTCAATGTAGAGAAAAATTGACTACCTGATCTGAAAAGTTATGGTTTCGAACAGGTTGAGGAAGAAATCGAAGATGGAGCCGAGCGAATCAGAAGAACGAAGCTTCCAGAGAGAGAGAGAGAGGGAGAGAGGGGTTTAGGAATTGGTATAAGATAAAAAGGTCGACAGAGAAAGTGGTTTTTGAGGATATATATACCTGAGGAATGGTGGCCCGGGATTTATAGAGGGTGAGCTCTTTTGGACCACACAATTATAGCACTTGCCAAACACACCCTAAGGTGAGGAATCTGAGGTGTGGCTGTTAAGGCTACTCTACTTTTTACTGTTTTGTTGAATGGGTAAAGGTTGGTAGCTCTAAAATCCCTCCCCTAATCCTCCTAATTTCCTTTTTTGGAAATTGTTTTTTTTTTTTTTTTTTTTTTTTTTTTTTTTTTACTTGAAATGGCATTTTCGGGGGATTCGGGCTCCCCCCTTTCGGGGGACCAACCACTGCCCTTTGGTGAATAGGGTAATCATCCAGAAAAATGATGCAGACCACTAATTAGTGGTTGCACTAGGGATGTGGCAGTGGGTCCCATCACTACCACATGTGTTTTGTGTTTTAATTTTTGTTTTTTTTTTTTTTTTTTTACTTGTCACATCATTAGTGATGGTGTTAGTGGTAGAAATTTAGTGGTATGTAGCATTGTTGTTACATATTTCATTGTTTAGCTAACTTTTTGAGAGGGGTTTAGGAATTGGTATAAGATAAAAAGGTCGACAGAGAAAGTGGTTTTTGAGGATATACATACCTGAGGAATGGTGGCCCGGGATTTATAGAGGGTGAGCTCTTTTGGACCACACAATTATAGCACTTGCCAAACACACCCTAAGGTTAGGAATCTGAGGTGTGGCTGTTAAGGCTACTCTACTTTTTACTATTTTGGTGAATAGGGTAATCATCCATAGCTAAGAGCATCTCTATCAAACCCATCAAATTCCATGTTTTAGCTATATTAAGAAAATTTACTAAACAAACACCTCATCAAACTAGTCTTTTCAATTATCAAATTTGTTGAGCCTCAAATCTTTTTAGCAAATAGCTAGTCATTAAACTTCAATAAATATATTTAAATAATAAAATATTAGACAAACATTACATAATTATTTTTATGAAATTTAATTTTGTTCACATATTTGATAAGTGTATGAATCAACCAACTTTTTTATTACTTGAACTAATGGGATATTTAAATGGTCAAGTGTATGAACAAAATAGTTTTTCTCATACAAAATTATAAGCAACTGAAAAACAAAGAATGAATTGAAAAAGAAAATTAGATTGAAGTGGATAAAAAATAGAGATGAAGTAATATTATTTATATTAGAAAAATATGACTATTAAAAAAAACACATTGAAAGAGTGAAATGTGTCGGTTTAAAAATATTTGATCAAAAGTTGAACTATTGAAAAATGTTAGTTTAAAAAATATAAATGTTAGAAAGAAAAAAATTAAAGAAATAATAAAATAAAAATATTTAAATAGAACAAAAAAAGAATAGAGAGTTTGTTGGAGAATGTATTTTAAAAAGTAATTAGCTAAAAGGCACTCGATTAAGAAATCAAATTTCGAATTTTTTTAGTCTAAAGGTCCAGGCTCTGGTTTTCTTTGCCCATAAGGACAATCATATGTAAAATGACCAACATACCATTCGGTATAAGGACAAGCATATGTAAAATGACTAACATACCGTTCTGTATATAAACCATATACAACATTGTCCAAATCCTAAATACTCACACTCTTCTCTCACTCTCCTTTACCTCACACACGTCGACTCCGTCGCTTTAATCACTCCCGCCATCACCACCACCACCACCACCTCCACCTCCACTGCGACATTTGCGCTCAAACGAGCGTGTGCGTCTGAAAAACTTCTGAAGCTTTGTATTCTACGCTCGAGCGAGGCTTCTTGCCCTCGAGCGAGGTCACTTGTTGTGTCTGGTCGCTCGAGCGATAACTCTTTCGCTCGAGCGAAGACCGCGTATATCAGTTCGCAGCAGAGATATTTTACTTCACTTTTTTATTCCTTTTCATCCCAAAACCCTAATTCGACTCTCTATCTCTCTTTAAAAATCCAAATTCACTCTACAAATCCCTTAGAATCTAAGAGTTTCTACTCTACTTTCTTTGAGAAAAAGGTATAGCATCTTATGGGCTTCCAATCCATCCGAGTAAAGCTTGACTTTGGGCATTTTCGAGATTCTCCTTCTTTCTCTTGAGCTCTACATTTGAGGTAGGGATATTCTACTCTTTAATATGGGTTTTAACCTAGGTGTTTGTCATTTTATATAAATGGTGGGATTTGGAAAGATTTGGGTGAAGTTAGGGTTTGGTTTTGAATTTTGAAAGAGAGGTTTTCTATATTTGGCTCCATATATGTATGTGAGGTCTTGATTAGGATGTTATATGGGAATAAATGGTGAGATTGGGTCTTGGGATTAATATTTGGAAAAAGGAGAAACTTGCCCTAATTTGTGTCAAAGAACTATTTTGTATAAATAATGAATTTGATGTGGGGAATGTGAAATTGGAAGGGTGTATAATTAAATGGTGTAGTTGGATTTGTTAAATCACTCACCTATGGAAATTTGATAAATTGTCTGTTGATGGATTGTATATCTGTTTAGAAATATCTATTTTGCGCTATCGGTGGAGGATATCAATGATTGTTGTAGAAGCTGCATGAGGATTTGGTAAATTGAAGCTAATCGATTTAATTATGTCATTGAATATGACAGTTTGATTAAATCATTGAATATGTGACTTGGTTAGTCATTGTATATGACAACGCTTTTAAATACATTGTATATGTATCATTGTTTGGGATGAGATAGGGGATGTACTCCATTATTTGGGAGGAGATAGGGGACGGACTCTATTGAAAATTAAGTTGGTCAGAGTATCCAGGGTGAAAGTCTCGAAATCTTACATATATATATATGAGTGCCGATTCCCTCAGATGTGATTCCGTAAAATGGCAAGAAAATGGAAGTGTTTGAATAATGGTTGTTATTGAAGTGTTAATAAATGAGTTATAGTCTCATTTTGAATTGTTTAGATAACAATGAACTATATCAATGAGTTGCTTTGAATAAATGAATAGAAATGGACTGAGAAATAGATGTCGATATTGATTGGTCATGGAAAAGGTGTAAGTTGGTTTACAAGTATTGAACATTTATTTGATGTTGATATCTTAGTTAAATCTCATATGTTGTTTAGTATATCTCTATTGGGTTTTGGCTCACCCTACTTGGGAAACCATTTTCAGGTACAAGTGACATGTCGCCTCTAAGGACATAGCTTGGGAGGTTTAGGGGCTGAAGGCTCCGTTTTGTTGTTTCGTTTTGTGTTAAATGTTTATTCAAGCCGAGGGCTTTAAATATATAGAGCTAGGACTCTGTCTTTTCTTGTAACCAAGAGATATTTTGGAAAGATGTAAGCTTGTAAGGCGTTTATGTTGTTGTAATTAACTAGTGTTACATACTGTAGTTTCAAAATGAATATATATGAAAGTATAATGCATGTAATCTCTTTTGTAATATAAACTCTAATGAATGAAAGTAATACATTTCCTATTATGTTTATGAATCTCTTGGGTTGGATTATCTTCTTTATTTTGAGTGCGTGACAACTTGGTATCAGAGCGTATTGGGTTTAAATACTTTGGATACGTGAGAAGTGGTTGGTACCACAATGGGTTTGTCTCACTTGTTAGAGACTTAACTATATGTTTAATGTGCTTATATGGTAACATGTCTATGTGATTATATGGGGAGGAGATTTGTTTTCGAGGATGTTGATCAGGTCCATGGGTTTCTGGGAGTCCTGCACTGCCGTTTCTAATTGGAACTCTAGCGATGCCACGAGACGGTCATTATCCGGAAATGAAGTTCGTATGTGCTTATGTGATTATATGCTTATGTGGAGTGAACTACAGTTGTCCATCGAATTAGGACGCGAGTGAGATAACTTCAGCACATTTATAAATGTGCCAATCTCTTTTGCTACCTTTATTAGGATGTCAGGACAAGGTCGTGGTGGTAGGCGTGGTAGGCCTAGGAGGCATGAGATGTCTATACCGGATAAAATTTTGGCATAGGAGGAAGGAGTTGGTCAGGCTAACGTGGCCGAGCCAGTAGGTCAACAGGCCATGGGTGCCTTAGCCCTTGAAATAGCCAGAGCATTGAGGGAATCCATGGATATTCTCAGGGCTGAGAATCAAGTCCAGACCTAAGTAGCTGAAGCTGGGCCACCCTTTCTGAAGAGGGAGTTTTTCCGGTCGAATTCGGAGGAGTAGTTGGAGCAGATAACGAAGACATTTGAGATGCTTGGCATCGAAGACGGAGGTTTAAAAGTGACCTTGGCGTCCTTCCAGCTGAAGGGAGACGCGGGTCAGTGGTGGAAGTATGCACGGGGGCATATTGGAGGGACTTGGAAGGCCTTTGTTGATGCTTTCCAGGACAAGTATTTACTTGCTACAGTGAGGGAGAAGTTGAGGGATCAATTCTCCAAGTTGGTACAGTTAAATACACCAGTGGTTGAGTTTGAGGCCATCTTTACTAGCTTGTCTAGATTTGCACCAAAGTTGGTAGTAATTGAGGAGCGCTGATGTTTGGAGTTTGAGAAGAGATTGCGGACTGGACTTATGTTTAGAGTGGCTGGGTCCATGATTAAGGACTATGGGCGCCTTGTGGAGGCTGCAGCCCATCTCGAGACTATTATGCATACGGAAAAGGAGAGGATGAGGGGCTCCAGAAGGAATCAGAAAGGTCAGGGGGACAGTAAGAGGCAGAAGGGTTCTAACCCCCAATAGTCCCAGGGGGCACATTCGAGGTTTACCTTTCCAGTGTCGAGTTCAGGTTCTGGGAGTGGTGGTCAACGCGACATCACTTGTTTCAAATGTGGTCAGTTGGGCCACAAGTCTCCAGCTTGCCCTCAGAGGGGAGGAGGGCAGCGAGCAGCTTCATCTTCGACTCGTTCTCAGGGCCAGAGTCAGGGCAGAGGCTAATCGCTCACTTGTTATCAGTGTGGGCAGGCGGGGCACTTGAAGAGGTTTTGCCCACAGTTGAGGGGCACACCTGGTGTGTTTGGTTCAAGGCAGACATAGAGTCACTAGCCAGCGTAGACAACCCATGCCTTGAGGGC